GCGAGGTGCATGTTGTATAGCTTTTGTTAGGGATGGAAGCCCTGCGCGCAGCAGGCAATATGCTGACGCCCCCGCCGTCCCTGTCAAAAACAATACAAAGTGCTCGCGGGTCTCACGAACATGACTCAAGACTTTGCCCCAAAGTGTATTCTCTATGGTTTTTGAAAGGGATTGTGGTGTGGGGGCCGCATCGGGTGTGCCGCGCATGCTCCAAATATGGAGGCGAAGTGCGTTTTGTTTTGATTTTTGACTGATGGGTGGGGGAGCATGTGGTCCTCATGGTTACTGGTTGGCTGCCGGTCGCCTGGGGGAAGGGGTGTATACTGATAGGGAACAGTGATTCACAGGTGTTTGGCTTCGACCATCTTCCCGCGCCCAGATCGTGACCCAGAGTTGATTTTTGACGGTCCTGGGGCTGGGAGGCGGCCTCCCAAACCCCCGACGTCGTGCTTTATTTCGCGCTGTCGATTCCCAGAGGTCTTGACCCTTTCTTTCGGTAGCAAATCATAGGAGCCTGGTATACGCTCGTAATTCCGTCTGTAGCGTCGATTCGTGTCGATTAGCGTCTGGGAGTCAATGAGGTAGCGCCGATTCAGCGTCGGTCAGCGTCGATTCGGTTAGATTTAGCGTCGACTAGCGTCGATTCAGCGTCGACTAGCGTCGACTCTTAAGAACCGACAAGGTGGTATTGGAGGCTTCCATGAGTTGCCACCGAACATAACCGGGGTCGAGTTCTTCATCACGGGTCGTTCTCTGACGGTCCCAGGGCCCAGCGAGGGCCCCCGGAGGCCGAGACCGGAGAGAAGTGTCCCGCCGCGATTTTTGGAGGACCCGAGGGGGTCTGGGTCCGGAGGCCGAGGGCGAGGAACACCCAGCCGTCCTCCGCAGGGCGGCGCTCTCAGCTCCCAGGAGCGCGCGCGCGCGGCTCCGCCGGAGCAGCGGGGGCCGAGGCCGGGCGGCGCGGCCTCGCGCGACGCGCCCGGGCCTGGGGCGGCCCGTGGGAGGGGCTGCAGGGGCAACAACAGGTTCGTGCCCCTCCCTCCCTTCCCCTCGCAGATGAAGCTCAGCTCCTCCTTGTCGCACCCCGAGGCTGGGCGAAAGGGTGGGGCCGGGCCGGGCGTGTTGCCTGAGACTTCCTCATCATTCACGATCTTGAAGCTCAGGTATGCGCAAGAGCTTAACGGATAGAGGGCGACCCGTTCTCCAAATGTGTCTCTCGCCTTAGCGCCGCGCACATTCGTTTTAAATGTTTGCGCGAGTTTTTCGGATGGAGCGCGGTCCGTTGTCAAAATGTGGTTCTCGTCCTAGCGCCGCGCACATTCGTGTTAAAAGTTCGCGCGAATATTACATATGGAGATCGGTCCGTCTTCAAAACGTGGCTCTCGTCCTAGCGCCGCGCACATTCGTAAAAACAATTGCAAGAGTTTGACGGACTGAGGGCGATTCCTTTTCAAAATGTGGTTTTCGCTTTAGCACCGCGCACATTCGTCTGTAAGAGTTTCACGGGTGGAGGGTGGTTTCTTTCCAACATGTGGTTCTCGCCTTTGCGCCGCACGCATTCGTTTTTATCGATTTCGCAGGAGTTTCAGAAATTTTCAGGGTCAACGCCTCAGAAATGATGTGCTGGCTCGATGTTGGAACGTCAAGACGCTGATTCGTGGTGTTGAACTCCCAGGAATGGTGTCCTGGCACGATTCAGGTTCGTCAAGTCGCAACAGTCACGGTGATTCGAGGCGTTGCTTTCCCATTAGTCTGTTCTGGCACAGCTCTGGATGTTCAAACGGTTGTCTTCCAACAACTCCATTTCCTCAGTGAAAGTGAATCCGTGTAAGGGGCCTACGAAGAGTGAACTTGGAGGGAGTGTGTATGGCAATATCGTTGACGAGTTTTTGGTTTACACTGGTCCTCCTCCTCTCCCTCTTTCTGCCACATCCTCCACCTTCTCGTCCTCCTCCTTTTCCTTCTCCTCCTCCTCCTGGTCCTCCTACTCCTCCTCCCCCTCCCACGACTCCTCCCCTGCCTCCCTGGGTGTGGTTCAGGGGCCCGCGGGTGGCGGTCGTGGGTTTGAGGTCTTTCTAGGCTTCCAGAAGGGGTCCGAGTAGATGGGGTCGGAGGATGGCGCCGTATCGCCTATGGCACACGCACGCGCACACGCACGCGCACACGCACACGCGCACGCGCACGCGCACGCACGCGCACGCGCACACGCACACGCACACGCACACGTACACGCACTCACACACATACACACACATTTACTCACACACTCACTCACACTCACACCACTCACACTCACACACAAACACTCACACTCACAAGCCTCACGCGCACGCTCACACGCACACTCACACTCACATTCACATTCACACTCACACGCACACGCACACGCACACGCACACGCACACGCACACGCACGCGCACGCGCACGCGCACGCGCACGCGCACGCGCACGCGCACGCGCACGCGCACTCGCACACGCACGCGCACACGCACACGCACA